TTAAAAAGGTGGTTTTTTTTTTTTTTTTTTTTTTTTTTGCGGTACGCGGGCCTCTCGCTGTTGTGGCCTCTCCCGTTGCAGAGTGCAGGCTCTGGACACGCAGGCTCAGCGGCCATGCTCACGGGCCCAGCCGCTCCGTGGCACGTGGGATCTTCCCGGACCAGGGCACAAACCTGTGTTCCCTGCATCGGCAGGCAGACTCTCAACCACTGCGCCACCAGGGAAGCCCAGGATGTGCTACTTTTAAAAAGAGGTCTCAATAGTTGTTTCCTTATCTGTAAAAGGAGAAAATAATCTTTACTTCATTAAATCATTGGGCAGTACTGTGTAATATATCATTTTTTTAAAAAATGGACATGGGCATTTCTTAGAATTTCAAGATAGATTACTTCAAGTTCGTCTATTTTTTCCATATCTACATTTTATAATCTTATATTTCATATGTAAAATTTTTTCCAGCCTGAAACGGAGACTCTCTACTCGTTCCTCAATTTTGAATGCAAAGAATCGGAGATTGAGTAATCCAGCGTTTGAAAATTCTTATAAAGATGATGACGATGAAGACGTCATCATCTTAGAAGAAAACAGTACTCCCAAGCCTGCAGTAGAGGATGATATTGAAGTGAAATTGCAACAGAGTCACATGGAGCAGAGCGGTGTTCAGGTGGAGTCTGTGGGTGATAATGAACCATGTGGCCAGACTAGTTCAACAGGCACCTCATCGTCCAGGTGCAATCAGGGAACCACTGCAGCCACCCAGACTGAAGTACCAGGTTTCGTCGTTAAAAAGGAAGAAACTATTGAAGATGAGATAGATGTAAGAAATGACACAGCCATACTGCCATCCTGTGTGGAAACTGAAGGAAAGACACGTGAAACTCAGGAAATCTTTGATAAACCTGCTGGTGATGCTGGTTGCCAATTAAATGAACTAAGAAATGAGCTGCTTCTTGTCACCCAAGAAAAAGAAAATTATAAAAGACAGTGCCACGTGTTTACTGACCAAATCAAAGTGTTACAGCAGAGGATACTGGAAATGAATGACAAATGCGTGAAGAAGGAAACTTGCCATCAGTCTACTGAAACTGATGCTGTACTTTTACTTGAAAGTATTAATGGTAAATCTGAAAGTCCAGACCATATGGTGTCTCAGTATCGGCAAGCTTTGGAAGAAATAGAAAGGCTGAAAAAACAGTGTAGTGCTTTGCAACATGTAAAGGCTGAATGCAGTCAGTGTTCCAATAGCGAGAGTAAAAGTGAAATGGATGAGATGGTTGTGCAGCTTGACGATGTATTTAGACAGCTGGACAAATGCAGTATCGAGAGGGACCAGTATAAAAGTGAGGTGAGTTACGGCATTCAGCACAGTGGGAGTCCAGGGGCATCTAAAACTTAACTGCCACTTGCCAGGTGGGCATAAATCACTTGATCATATTTCCATTTACCGACTCCACTGGTTCTCAACTGGGAGTGGTCCTCCTGGGGGCATATGGAAATGTGTAGGGCAGTTTCGGTTCTTAAATGTCCTGAAGGGATGGGCATTGTTGGAATCGAATGGGTGGGAACTGGGTCTGGTAAATGTCCTATAGTGCGCAAGGACACTGCTGTGCAGTGAGGGATTGTCCTGCTCATTCCCACTGGGACGCTCAGTAACTAACATGCCGGGAGTTCTAGTGCGTTATTAATAAGCCTGCAAATAACCACACAGGGTAGATGACAATACCTTATTTTATAGAGGTACCCTGTATTAGTTATGATTAGATTCCTTTGAAGGTGACATAAAACCCCACATAACAGTAGCAGCTGCACAGTCATCAGAGACACAGGCTCCTTCTACATCGTTGCTTTGCTTCTCAACCTGCGCTTGTGGTCCGAGATGGCTTTTCAGGTCCAGCCAACGTATATCTACATTCCAGGCAACAGGAAAGAGAAGGGGTGCAGTTTCTGAAAGCTGCTTATATGCCATCTGTCAGAACTTAGTTACCTGGCCAGTGGATGCCTTGGAAATGTAGTCTTTATTTGGGGGTTCTTTTACTGAGGAAAGAGGAGCCCCTAGTTCAAATTTGGATAGCTCCTTTGAAAAATATTTTACGTATTATATTTACATGGTGTTTGAAAGGAGAGTTTCTCTGCTAAAAGGAATTTGGAAACGACAGTATGGTACCGAATTGCCCCTTCTTCCTGGAAATACTGCCGACATAACTGCTCATTCAGACATTCTGCTTGATGTGTTGGCTCAGGAGCTAGATGACAAAATACATAAAAAATATAAACTTTCTGTTGTAACTTACTGCTGGTGAGTGTGCAAGAAGTGAAAGTCACTATGACCTCAACATAATTTGGGCATTTTTATCTTGGTTTTTCAGTTTTTAGCTCCCATTTATTTTTTTGTTTTTTGGGGTTTTTTTGGCGGTACACGGGCCTCTCACTGTCGTGGCCTCTCCTATTGCAGAGCACAGGCTCCGGACGCGCAGACTCAGCGGCCATGGCTCATGGGCCCAGCTGCTCCGCGGCATGTGGGCTCTTCCCGGACCGGGGCACGAACCCGTGTCCCCTGCATCAGCAGGCGGACTCTCAACCACTGTGCCACCAGGGAAGCCCCCATTTGTTTTTAGTCATGCTTTAATTAACATTTTGTATTCTTCTAATGTAAAAAGATATAGAGCTGAAACTAAGCAAATGAAGCTTTATTTATAGAAAGCTATTATGTTTTGTGTGTGTTTTGTTGGTTTTCTTTTTGGAGGGGGGAGGTGCCCTATTTTTTTTATGGTAATTTTCATCAAGCAGGATTTTGTACATTTCTTAGCTTAAATTTGCACTTTGACATTAGTATTTTTAAATGGTACCGTTATAAAATTAATTAATTTTTTTGTCAGGTTGAATTATTGGAAATGGAAAAATCACAGATCCGTTTGCAGTGTGAAGAACTGAAAACTGAAATCGAACAATTAAAATCTACAAGTCGACAAATTGGAGATGTGTCAACGTCAAGTAACATTGAGGAGTCTGTAAATTATACTGATGGGGAAAGGTAATATGAAATGAGGCATTTGGCTAGGGCTGCAGTTCTGGTTAGCATGATACTTATTTGCTAGTGCACATCAAACAGATTGTTCTAGCAAAAGAAGTTATTGGCTGCTGTGATCCCAACATTCTGATAGACAGAGATACAAAAGAAGTACATGTCACCATTCTTCCCTTCAAGGAACTAACAATTTTGTGAACTTAAATGAAATAGGAATTTCAAAGTAATTAAGCTCTGATTGGTCAGAGTGGTTTGGAATGTTTTTTGGGAAAAAGTGAAAATTGAGCCAGATATTGAAGGATGGGCTGAATTAGGCAATGACTAGAAGACAAGGGTCTAGTCTTCTTAACTTTTTGGCCTTGATTTCTTTCATTTCTGTACTTGGCACCATTTTTTTATGGTTTACTACCTCATTTTACTACATGCCTTCCCCAATTTTAACTTTTAGGAAATCACAGAATTACTAAAAATTGTCATTACAGGTGATTCCTAATTACAGGTGATTAATTAAGAAGAAGTTCTGTGAAAATAAGAAAACAGTAAATGAATGATTACCCTCTCTCAGTAAGAGATTAAATGGGCTTGGGGTTCTGACAGTATTGGTGGTCTATTGATAACCATTCAAGAGAGAAAAAAAAACACAAAAATAGTCATTAAAAATAGTGCAGCTCTTCCTGCTAATATGAAAACTTGATACCTAAAATGTACTATTGTTGAGAAATAATTTACCATCCTTACTTGACATTAATTATATTATGACTTAGTTTTTTAGCTTAAGGTTTTAAAGGATTTCATTAAATCTATTCATGGAAATAGAATGAATAGATCAGTACATATAAGCATGGGGGGGCAAGGGGTCAGAAAAAAATTCCCAGCTTGTGTTTCTGAAAATGGGAACCACAAGCATCTGTGGTGCTTGTAAAAATGCAGATCCTTGGACCACAGTGCAGTTCATTAAATGGGAAACTTTTAAACAATCTCCCAGATGATTCACTTGCACACTAAACTTTGAGTAACTGACGATCTTTTAGACCTGTGCTTTCCAAGACAGTATAGCCACATTTGGCCACTGACACTTGAAATCTAGCTAGTCTGAATTGAGATGTGCTTTAAGTATAAAATACATGCTGGATTTTGATGCCCTGGTATGAAAAAATAAATAAATAAATTAAATGCCTCAATATTTTGGTTATATGATGAAGTAATATATGTAACTAAAATTTATTTCATCTTTTCAGTGTGACTATTTGAATATTTAAAATTGCATATGGAGCTCACAATATTTCTCTCAGTCCTGTTCTGTGTACTAAAATAGAGATTTGTGATGTGTCCTGTAGAGAGGAGGAATTAGCCAGGACAGTCAAAAGACTTAAAGGATAGGATAGGTTAAAGATGGTTGTAGGGTCATACTGGTCTTTTTCTATTTTTTTGTATAGAAATGGGCCTCTGATTGAAGATGAGTGGGAAAGCTTGGACAAAAAACAGCTGGTATGGGCATGATGTAAAATTTTATCAGAGGTCCAATGGGATCTTAACATAAGCTCACAAAAAACGTATTTTAAAATCACATTTTTATGTGTTGTCAACCCAAGGATGAGCAGCTCGCTCCTTCAGAGATTTCCACCCTAGAAAGATCAGTATCTAAACTAAATGTAGACTTCTTATATTTTGGGAGGGGGCAGAACAAAAACAACTGTAACATTCTCTTGACCTAGGCGTCTCAATCTTCGACGCAAAGGCTGCTTGCTGTGTAGTTGTAGAAATTCAGTCTAGAATGTGGATATTCAGATAGATATAGTATAGAAAATGGAAGGAATGATAATGATCATTTAATCCAGGGTTTCTCAGTGTTTATAATAAATGCATAGTAAAATGGATAGTTAGTGAACTTTAGCATGTGATAGGTTCAGAGAAATCCTGCATTTTATTTTTTTTAAAGGCTTTTTTTAAAAAAATATTTATTTATTTGGTTGCACCGGGTCTTTGTTGCAGCAGGTGGGCTCCTTAGTTGCTGCCCCAGGGCTCCTCAGTTGCAGCTCGCCAGCTCCTTAGTTGTGGCATGCGAACTCCCAGTTGCGGCATGCTAGTGGGATCTAGTTCCCTGACCAGGGTTTGAACCCAGGCGCCCTGCATTGGGAGTGCAGAGTCCTATCCACTGCGCCACCAGGGAAGTCCCAGAAATCCTGCATTTTAAAAAGTGTTTTTACCATTATTTAACCCAAAGTTGTATAAGCTTATTTGACCACAGGACCATTTCTTTTTCCTTTTATACTACTATGGATATCTCATAGAACATGTTTTAGGGAACAATTCAATTCACTTTGCTCAAAAGGAAGCTGAAATTCAAAGCAACACATTCTTATTCTTAGACCAGTGTTCTCACTAGTGTATCATTATTGTTTTCCAGGTGATAACAAGATTTTCAGTTGTAAATAACATCTTGTAATTTATGTATTTTACCAGTTCCTCTTTTCTCCAGTCTCGAATTAAAATTGCAATAGTTGGAACCAAACAGAGCTGCTAGTGTTTTGAAGCACTCTACATACCAACAGATAAATATTATACTTAGTTATTATATTATGAATTATTAAGTTAAATGAATTGTTAAATCTAGTTCTCTTGAGCAAGTTTTGCTTTTCATTTAGTTTGTATATCATTCTACAGAGATTCCATTTTAATGTTTCCCTTAAATTATAAGGCCTACCTGAATATTAAACTGTATTATAATGTTCGTCTAATAGGTGTAATGTTTGTATTTGCAGCCTCAAACTTCGATCTCTTCGAGTTAACGTAGGACAGCTCCTGGCCATGATTGTACCTGATCTCGATCTTCAGCAAGTGAATTATGATGTCGATGTAGTTGATGAGATCTTAGGACAAGTTGTCGAGCAAATGAGTGAAATCAGTAGTACTTAAAGTGTATTTTATGTGAGATAATAAAAAATATTTGCTCTGTCTTTCTGGTTGTATAGCTTTCAAAATTTAAGCAACTTTGTTATAGATATGATATGTAACAGACTGAAGAACCACAATCTTTTCTGTATTCTATGCATTCAAGTGTGGACACAAATATTGTGGACACATTATCACACCTTTTGAAATGCCTGTGAATCATTGGTATTGAGCAGCTACATAGCTAACTCATGATTCTGCTTTGAAATGTAAATATTTATAATTAAGTCACACATATTTTTTTATTACCCTAGAGAACTCAAGTGTTTTTCACCAAGAGATTTTCAGGTTTCCCCTAACCTTTGTGCAGTCTTTTCTGGTTCCCCAAAATGTATTTTTCTCTGACTTGAGGGCTGTGCCATAATACAAATGGAAATGTTACCTTTGATTTTCTTACAGAGAAGTTTAAAACAGGGTTTTTAAAAATGGAATAACACTCCTGATAAGTTGTAAGTAATTGAGCATTAATGTTTCTTTTCTATAAATTCTTATCTCCTGAAATATTTTATTCATGAAAATAAAGTAAGCAGAAACTCCATCCATTTTGCCAGGATTTTTTTTTGTGTGCTGAGATTGCCGATCATGGTTATTAAACACAAAGTGTTTTTACAGAAAAAAATGATGATTTTTAGTATAAAAATATAAAAAATATTAAATGCCCCACCACATTTACTTTGAAGCCCATTTTTGGCTGCTTAGTCCGCATGGAGTGGGCACAATAATTGTTTAATATTTCTTTTTGTGAAATTTCCTGTACAGCCTTTTGTAGGATTACTACAGGTTAATATGAGTTGAGGAAGACAGTCTTTCCCCAACAGTACTGCATACCTTTTATTATATTACAAACCTAAGTGTTTTATATCCTGGAGTTAAGCAACAAACAACCTAGGATTATAGTATTACATGCCATAAAAATTATGCTTTACTGGTCCCGTGTTTTGTGCAATTATAAAGAGATGGCTTTCTATTAAGTATAACTGTATATATAATTAAGAACCATATTTTCCACAACTGAAATGTGCATTATTTTTTTCAAAGTTTTATCATTGCTATTTATTTTTACTTTTGTTTCTGAACATTGAATACATGTTCCTTTTGTATGCTTAATTACATGTCTGTCATGTACAATATTAAATTTTTACTGTACATTAACTTCTAGAAAAAGCAAATAAATTTTTATTTGCTTGATAAAGTAATTGAAAGTGTATTTTTGGTATGAAGCTGGTTTTCTGTCACAGTTGTATCTGCTCAAATTTTAAAATATCTTGTAATAAAATAAAAATATCTATGATGGCTCACACTTCAGATACTACTTTTAAGGAGTTGTATATTCAAGTTATATTTTGAAAAGTAAGATTGTGTCTGTTAAGACCCTCAAGTTGAGCTCATTTTACTATATTTATTAGAAGTTATATTTAGAAGATATAATTTCTAAAAATTTAGAAGTTATATTTACTTCCATTAAGGCTCTAAGACTGGGCTCACCTTGAGAGTGTGTGCGTGCATTTTCCACTCAAAAAGAGACTTTATTTGTGTAAGTCATCTAAAGAAACCTTGCCTAAATGATAGCAGCTGTGTATAGCATGTCTAAGTTTGTGAATATTTATGTAGCACTTATTTCTGGAATTTGCTATTTTTCCCTTCGTTTTGGTCACCTATATTCTTGCAAAAATACATATTTTATATGGCTGTTAACTGGCTTAATAGCAAAGTTAATCATAGAATTAGAGAAACTTGCTTGCTAAATCGATTCTTTGGAAATACTTACCTAATATTCACTCTTTAAGAAAACATTGCCAAGATATGACTGTGTGGCTAGCAAATTTAACAGAAGAATGTACATGGGCTTTCATGTCATCTATTGAGGTAGCAATACCTATCTTTTTTTGTTAAGTTAAATTTGTTCCTACCTATCTTTTTTTGTCAAGTTAAATTTGTTCAAAGGCTAGTGTGGGGGAGGATAGTGTGGCTTAAACTAATTATTTAAAACTTAAAGGCAGTGTGAGGACGTAAACCAGAATAGTCCACAGTCGCTACAAACAGGACCTCAGCTAAGACCACAAAATCAGTAAAAGCTAATTTTCACACAGCAGGAGAGGTGTGGCATATGGATGTGGCCTTTATTTGGGCCTCAAATTCCTAATGTGGGCAGGAGGTGCTGGTGACTCTGCCCATGGTCTCAGACACTTGATTCCTCCTGTCATACAGCCCATTAGGTCGTTATTTGTCATGGAGGAATAATTAAAGTGATATGTACTGATGGTTCTTACCACTCACTGGCTGCATTTTAGAATCACTTGGGTGGTTCTTAGGAATCCCAGTGTGAGGATGCACCCCGTACTAATTAAGAGTTTTGGGGGTTGGACCAAACTGTCAGGCTACTTTTCTTTAAGGCCTCCCAGTGCACCGTCAGAGCTGAGAGCTGTTGATCTATACCCTCCAGTGATGAATGTTTGTAAGTGTTGAACTCAAGTGGTTCCTGAAACAAACTCAGGATCTGCATGACCACTTTTTCACTGGGGTAAGCAAGGACAGGGAGAGGGAAGCAGAGTTGATGCCCAAGTTAGAAATGTAAATACAACAGAATGATATAAAATGAAAAGTGTTTTCTTATATCCTTCCAGAAAATATTAGCTGCCTACATACACACATTCATATATATATGCATTCAGTTTATATTAAATTTTATATCTTTGATTATATATTTGTATCAAATCTACACAGGTATCACGCCATATAATTGGTAACATTTCCATATTACTCTTTTGAACAGCTTCAGTAGCATTTTATGACATGAATATGCTCCCAGCCCTCATTTATTTCTCGTCTTTTGATATTACTACAAAAGCTGCTGCTGTGAAAATACACAGCACACGTACTTTTAAAAGTATATCCAGAATGTAAATACCTTGTAGTGAATACTGATAGGTCAGTGTATGCCGTGTTAATCTTAATAAATGTCGCCATCCAAAAATGGTTGCGAGTATTTATACTCCTGTGAAAAATAGATGTATGAGTGTGTTTTTTCCTATCTCCATCAAACTTATTGATATGTGGAAAAATGGCAGCTTGCACCTCTTTATCTCAGGTTGAACATGTTTTCATATGTTTTATTGGCTATTTTAATTCCTTTTTCTGAGTACCCTGTCATATTCTCTGCCTGTTCTTTTCTGTTGGGTTCTTTGGTTTATTGCTTTAAAGAAGCTAAATGCCTGTTAATGTGGCCACAAGCACTACCCAGACAACTCCTAGCTTTCAGAAGTTGGTTCAGTCTTACTTTGCACAGTGTCACATAGACTCATTGGAATGGAGTGAGAGACCCACTGGATTCATGTCTTTTTATATGAGGCTGCCCCTTGAACAACTTGGGGCTTGTGGGCTCTGACCCCCATTTAGTCAAAAATCCACATATAACTTTTGACTCCCCCAAAGTTACTAATAACTGTTAACCGGAAGCCTTACAACAATGAACAGTCAATTAACATGTTTTGTCTATGTTACAGGTATCATTTACTGTATTCCTAGAATGAAGTTAGCTAGAGAAAAATTGTTAGAGAATCATAAGGAAAATACAGTACTGTACTGCCAAATTCGTCATCTGTTTACAAGATGGACCATCTCAGTATGTAAATCTGTATTATCTTAAATGATAAACAACACTAGATGTTACGTGTACCCGTTGAAAATGAAAAGGTGATGTGAAAAATTCATTTATTTACAGGTATAATGATTCATGCACTGGTAATGAAGAAGCAGCAAGGAATATGATTGCTTTTTGGTAGCCTAGTGTAATCAATACAATTGCTTCACGGTTGCCTAGCCTATACACTAATCGTTATAAAAATTTTTTAAATTTATTTATTTTTGGCTGCATTGGGGCTTCTTTGCTGCGTGTGGGCTTTCCCTGGTTGTGGCAAGCAGGAGTTAATCTTGGTTGTGGTGTGCAGGCTTCTCATTGCGGTGGCTTCTTGCGGAGCACAGGCTCTAGGCACGCGGGTTTCAGTAGCTGTGGCACACGGGCTCAGTAGTTGTGGCTCACAGAGTCTAGAGTGCGGGCTCAGTAGTTGTGGCGCACGGGCTTAGTTGCTCTGCGGCATGTGGGTTCTTCCCGGACTAGGACTCAAACGCATGTTCCCTGCATTGGCAGGCGGATTATTAACCACTGCGCCACCAGGGAAGCCCGTTATAAATTTTTTTTGTTTTGGCTGTGTTGGTTCTTCATTGCTGCACGCAGGCTTTCTCTAGTTGCGGCGAGCAGGGGCTACTCTTCGTTGCGGTGTGCAGGCTTCTCTGCAGTGGCTTCTCTTGTTGCGGAGCACCAGCTCTAGGCGTGCGGGCTTCAGAAGTTGTGGCTCGCGGGCTCTAGAACACAGACTCAGTAGTTGTGGCGCACGGGCTTAGTTGCTCCGCGGCATGTGGGATCTTCCCAGACCAGGGCTCAAACCCGTGTCCCCTGCATTGGCAGGCGGATTCCTAACCAGTGCGCCACCAGGGAAATCACTGTATTTGTCTTTGGGACATTGGTCATGGATCACAAAAAGAATGCCATTAATATCCATCCACTTGGCATAGAGGAAAATATATATGCCTTGCTTTTTTAGCATTAATTTTGTGATCATGAAGTTAATTTACATATACTGGCCTCTAGGGAGAAAGTCAAGACCCGTGAAGACAAGTTTTGGTAAATTCAAGCCATTCAAATGCAGGTGAAGTTTTTAGGTGAGTGTGGTCATAGAGAATGAATTATCCATTACAGAACTGGAGTGTGAATCACAAGTAAATTTCCTACACAGGCATTCTAATAAGAATGGGCTGAGTAAATACAATTACCTATTTCAAACATGTAAAACAAGTTTAACCTCAAGGTTCAGTATTAATTTCTTGCAAAGCAGTCAGGACTCATTATGGTAATGATATATAGAATAGACTCAAAAGAACTTTTTACCCCAGCTTGGCTCATATTT